GCGGAGTATCTGTGGAGCTGGATGGTGAGAACTGGCGACTTTCTAGTGCGTGCGTTTGACTGGAGGACGCGCATGTTGGAGAGAACGTGGACACTCCTATAGGTAAATTTCTTCTTATAGGAAACTTCCGCCGCCGGCTTGCCCGGGAACTACTTGTATATATTGTAGTAATTATATTATATTATATTATATATTGTATATATTACATATTATATGTATTATATAAATATACATATACGGGAGATAGAGAGGGAGAGAGATCCTGCAGCTCAAAGGTTACGAACGGATTTGAAAACCTTCAATTCCATTTCTTATCTACTACAATATGGCCAATGGGGTGTAATTGTTGATGGCGGTTGTTAAGTTGGCTGAACGCTTAAGCGGCCTAATTTGAGCCTGCCTGGACACTTCTGCAGGAACTGTGTTTGAACCATTACCACAATTTGTTTAGGTAAATAGAAATCAGAATCAGATGTGATCTCCAGAGCTTTCAGGTCGGCAGTTGCATCGTTCATTCCATCGGCTTAGGCAACATAATGCTCCTGGATGCTCCTGAGTACACCGGGGTGGTGCTTGTTTTGAGTTTGCCAGGCTTGGTCTTGCGGTTCTTTTACAGCAACACTTTGTGCAATTTAGATTTCTGCGATCAGTCTGCGAGTCTCACTCTGCAACATGTCTTGGGTTTGTGGACGCATTGGACACAGCAGCGCGGCCAAATCACAAGTCTCATGTACTCGTGAAATCTCGACAAATAATATTGAACATTGGTTCTGCCAAATTGGGGTTGCGGTGTGAGGATTCAACATCTTTCAGCAACTTATATTGCCACCAAACAACCAATGGGCTGTCCAACACAGCGCAGTCCTCCCAACCAATGGCAAAGAGTCTATTCATATATGTCATTCCTCATGACCCGCCAAACTACCAAGTGGAGCCAAACTACTGACACGAGGATGGGTCACCCCAAACTACTTGTGTGTCTTTTGTCCGCTTTTGGCCATCACGAGTTGGGCCTGAAAAGCAATCATTCATCATTTAAACTTAAAAACATGTTGAGGTCTTTCAAGCACCCAGAACTCAGTGATTTCAGTCAAAGAATTCTCATAGCCCACACACACAATTCAGAATGGAGCCTAGGTCAACAATCAACTGTTTGCAAAATGCTGTGCTGGAGGGCCCTTGTGAAAACCATGCCATGCTTGGATGCATTCACCTGCTTAGCTGCCATCAAAAAGAATCATTTACGCTGTAAGGCACGCAGTACATGTGATTGTTGCAGTTGCACAGTAACATAAACACACCTGTTTAATGCCAGTAGCCTGGACTTGTTCCGTGAAGATCAAATTGTATTGGAAACATGTCGGTCCACCTTTCGATCGCTTTTGTGAAACTGGCCGAAACTCCTGTCAATCAGATCGAGAAAATAGAAAAGAAGTACATAAACTCAGCAACAACGGTGACAACAGCCACAAAAAACTATGAACTCATGTGTCCAGTCCTCTTCAGCTGTCAACAACAAGTCAGAAATGAAAGGTAGCACCTTGAGCTTGAACTTGGATTTTGTCAGAAACGCAAAACCTTGCCTTGCCTGACCAACAGGTGGCCGTGCTGTGTGCTCGACAGTGTCACATGGTGCCTGCGAACCAGGACCCTCGCAACCACTTGTTTGCCGTGTTTGAAATGTTTATGACACTGAATAGACCTGCCTCGTGAGTAGGGGCAGTAGCCTAATGTTCCAAAGATTCTAAATTGACAGGCCGAGGTCCGAAAACTAAGTTCAAAGTGATGTTCACAACGAATGCTGGCTGCAACGAAACTGAGCCGCATGCAAGCACGAAAAAAACCTGGAGAAGATGCTGCCGTTCCTGGTGCAAAAACACCCAATCCTAATTTAATGGCACCAATATACAATTTGGATCAATTTGGTAACACATCGTTTACGATTGGACATCTATATAATCAACGAGCCGACTCGAAACATTATATACAATTCACCTTCACTAGCGCGCGCTGACACAGGCCCGGTCACCCTAAACCTGCCGTGGTTGGCCAATGCTGATCCACGTTGCCTAGAAATATGTCCTGGGTTTTCCTGGCGCCTATGGCTTCATGCTAAGTGACACTCCGGCAGCAGGCACAAGACCCAACGAGATAGTTTTGGGCAGGGTTTGGCCTGTTAGCGCCTGACTTGTGTGTGGCTCTTTCAACTGCAAACCTGTGCTGTGCACCCCACCGAAGTGCTTGTGTCTAATAATGTTTAATTCCTATGTCATCCTTAATTGTGAGTTTAACTTTTCCAGAAAATCCAGATCAAAATTGATTTATATTGTGTCCCCAAATCAGGGCTGGCAGAGGCAGATGGTGATGGGCATCCGTCTTTGGATGACATGGTGACTCAGGGATGGAGGGTGGCCTGACGTCCAGCCGACGGAGCAGGCGGCACCCGATGCGGAGGAAGTGCCAGTTTGGATGGGAATTTCGTCCCAAATGCCAATGAGACGCTCTGAGAGGGCGAACCCATGGGAAGGAGAAAGGCGATTTGGAATGACTTCGCAGCTGCGGGATGAGGATAGCTCAGAAGATGACTTCGACATAGTGAACCCCTGAGCACAGTTGTTTTTGTGGAATGGCCGAAAGTCGGCCAGGGGGAGTGTGAGTCGCAAGCCGCACTCTCGTTTCATTTTAGAAGTTGGAGGCATGAAGGCCTATGCTACAGGTCTGAACCCCTTCCACCACGGAAAGCCAAGCGCCGTGGTGATGAACGTTTGGCTCAAGCAAAAGGGGCCCGACGCACTGAGCACATGTTTTTCGCATAACCACGGAAACTATAACATGTAGTTACTGTAATATAACATTCCCATGCCAAGTGGTGCAGCCGGTGAATTGAGATTCCTGAGTGGTGGCTATGGTTGTGGGAAGGTGATAAACATACAGTAGTCTGTCCTGCGTCTAGAAGCAAAATTTTGCAGCTCCACAAAGAGCACGTCGCTAGTTGAGCGGCAAGGGATGAGCAAAGATGCAGCAAGTGGAAAACATGTACAGTATCATTTCCCTGTGCTAGCAGCGTCGCAACTACTCCAACAAAATGAGCACATCTTGACAAAACCTGGCAAATGAAATGAAATGGAAGCGTGTCTTGTCCAGCCACTTTTCACGAGGTTCTTCATCAGCGTTGTCACCTTTTGCTCAGCTCTGATTAAACAAAGGGCATGCAGGCTCTAGACTTTGGCTTTGATCAAGCTACGATGCAACAGGCTGCAATATCAGTCATTTTAGACACACGCTCGAACTTTTGAGCGTTGAACCACGGCACTCACCTTTCCTTGGCCAACACAGTGGCCTCAAAGGAAGGGATATTGGCGGCAGCCTCAGGAGCTCGTTTTTGCTATATAACCACTCTGTACATGCCGCATTTGGCCTGAGGCCAAAGCAAAGCTTTGAATTGTCCTGCTGGAAGTTGGAAGGGCAGCTTGACTTCTAGGTCCTGCCAAGCATTGTTCTCTCAAAGGCAAAGGCTCAATCGCTGAGTTAGTCGAGTGCTAAGCATGAAAAGTAACACGCACCATTCTGGTCGCGTCCTTCGGACCGACCCCTTGAGCAAGACACCACTTTCCAGCCTGCAGAGACATTGGCGACGATACCACCAGCAAAAGCTCTCATTCACGCCTTCCGAATATATGCCGGTGGCATGGAATCTTCAAAATATACTGCCTCGTAACATATCACATCACTGCACCAAAGGAAAGTATGCGCAATGAGATATGCACATGTGAAGAATTGCCACACGCCAAGCTTTGAGGTTTTGACCATATGCGGGGAGAGTGGAGTTGGCTTGTCACAATTCTGCCTCCGCAATTGCAAGCGTACACGTCAGGGTCATGCACGTAGGGGTCCATTGGGCCGGCTGTGGTGCAGTTTCGTGCTTAAATTGGTGTCCAAACTTTCAAGCCAAGAGAAGGCAGTGGCAAATCTGATGGTGGCCCTGTCATGTATATAGTGTATATGCAGTATATATAGTGTATGTACAGTATTTATAATTAGGATTTCTTGCTTGTATCTGGACCGACCACCAAGATAATTTCGGGCAAATCTTCGGCACCTTCAAACAATTCCATCCCTACTTTCTTCAGGGCATCGTCGGGCATCGTAGTGTGTATCGTCTGCCTGTAGGACTGTAAGAGCTATATTATACTGTATATCTGATCAACAGTCATAGCACAACCAAATTAATTTGCACACGAGCCTGTCACCTAGCCACTCTGCAAAGATCTTGCCCTCAACGATCTCTATACACGTACTGCCTCACATGACATGCTCACGGTGAGTTGCAATAGACATAGTAAGAGCCGGCACGAAAGCCGGCAATAAAGAAAACTGGAATCAGTAGAGGATCAAGGGCTACTCTGGGCAACTGATTACTCACTGCATTGTTGCAAAACAATTCAGCAAAAAGTCATTACTTTGACGAACACATCCGTAATAACAACAACAATAGAGTGGTTTCCTAAAAGGCTACTCCTACAGCCAGTTTACCTGCAGTGGATTGTCACTGGATCAGTCATTGAAGTGTCATCTACTCAAGGAATTTCCCAGTGCTTGCACGTCCATCATCTATGAGAAAACGCTGTTTTGTTGCTATTTCCATCACTCTCTCCAAAATCTGAACACAACTACTTCCACAAACAACATCTCTTGAAATTCAATATCCCATGTTTTCAGTCTGGAACGGAAGTCTTGAATGGGATCGTGCAGAGCACACAACACAGGGATTGCTTGGCAGCTTGTACATTGCTGGCCTTTTGGCCTAATTGCGTGCAAGGGCTGGCACCTACCAAAAAATCAAACATAGTTATATACAGCCCCCTTGCACAACGACTCCCATCCCTCTCTCCTTTATGAGGCGCACACAGGGCAAAAATGTGAAGCGGTTCGCTGAGCCCACTTGGCCCTGTAGGAGAACCGAATACGAAACAGGAACTGAAACGCTTTGAATTGAGAGAAACCTTTTGTGAAAAACTGAATCATATTGGATTTGGGAATAGTGCGACTACAGGATTGGCAAAACGGAGTCAGAAAACGAATTGATTGGGTGACATGAACCTCCTCAGAAACGTTGCAGGTTCGCCGTTGGATATCCTGGCATGAAGCAAGGCAAGCAATTCGAACTTTTGGATCTTTTTGGACCCTCCAACCGAACACAAATTCATTGGGGACACGTGTGCACAAGTGCTTTTTGCATTTAGAGATTATTCCTTTCACTGCGTTTCCAACCCGCATAACAATTTTGCATCGGTTTCTGCCATGTGTCTGCGGTGTCAATAATTGCAGCATTTTGCAACCTTCCAGACAAACTTGGGAATTTGGCACGTCATGGACAGCCATGGATGCCCAAACACTTCCACATACAACCGCACCGCTTCACCATCCACAGGCCTCATTCCCCACATACACACACAGTGTCACGCGCGCACGCACACACACAGCAGGAAAGAACGCATACAAACACAACCGACAGCGCGCGGCCGTCCAGGACAAACATGGTTTCAACACAACAAAAACTTCAAGAAGTCTCCGGCTGCAACATCTACAGGAATGTGTGTCAGCAAATCTACAGAACCTGCCTGAAAATGCCTTGCGAGTCAACGTGGAAGTGGGGCCGGGAACATTGTTTCAACATCTGCAAAGGATCGCAAAGGTACGTTCCCACAATGTCCATCTGGAATATCACGTTTTGAGAGCGCGGTCTTCGCTGCGGATTGCGCGCTCCAGAACCAGCGTCGATTGGAGTCGATGCCTGCAAACCTGGAAAAATTTGAAAGGTGCCTATCAACTCTGCCCCGTGCACACACACACACACTGGGAAAGGGTGAGAGTGAGTGGAGCTTTTGACCATTGATGGAAGCCTGAACGCTGCCTAGAATCTAGAAGTCGCAACTGCGAGACCGTTAACTATGCAAAGACTGCTTAGGAGATCTTAGTACCGGCTTCATGCCAACCGTTACCTCGCCGAAGGGCCAAGGGAAGCATATCTTGGAGGCGAGTTTTGAGGCCATGTACTATGCAGATGCGGCCAGCACTTTGTTTCTGATTTGAGATCTACGACGATGGCTACAATCCCATGTCATAGGAACTCCACTCACGAAGAAACTAGACTGCGGTCTTCGTCTTTTGGGCCACAACTGAAACCAAAATCACACCAAAAAACTTGATGATTATTCCTGGATAGGCTGGTGAGGTTCAGGCGCCCCTCCTTGTCATTGTTGAACCATGCTTGGCCCAAACACAGGCAGGTACCTCTGCCATTGAGTCCTCGATGCATTCAAGAGCTTATCTACTCGGCCGCCTGTTGCCCTTATAGCCGTGGTTGACTTGGGTACGCCAGTGAGTGCGTGCTCACACGCTTCTGAATTGGGGGGTGGACTCTGCGGGAGCTCAGGCTGACGACGCGAGGACAACGAGCGCTGGAGCTTGGCTCGCGGGAAGCACGTGAACAAGTTCGATTTCAACCTGGAGGCAGTTGCAATGACGCGAGGGCTAAAGGCCCCCATGTCCCGGCTACTAACGGTATAGGCGCACTAATGGCAGCGTTAACGTCTGGATTGTCGGGTTGCTGGATATGTTTCAAATGAAATCGACAAAATGCGACAATCGATTGACTCGCAAACGTTGGCCAGGAGTCATGGAGTTGGGAGACATGACCAAGACCGATTTCCAAATCATTGAGCGTCTGCGCAACGCCATCAACTACAAGATCGACTTGGTGACCGTGGGGCCGATGGCTACCGACGCTGGCCATTGAGCGGTGGACCAAACATCGCATAGGATCGCTATTTTGCCCAAGTTTACAAGTACGAAGACGAGAACACGACCTCAGTCCAGGCCTTTCTCTCTCTCTCTCTGTCCCTGGATGCTCGGGTCAGTAGCTGACGCACCGTCCTCCTTTTTCCTTGGGCGTTCTTTTTCTGCTTTTCTGTTGCTCCTTTGTACTGTTTCTTTTTTTTTGTTCTTCCCTTCTTCACCTTGCTCCCAATCTTCCCTTCTCCTTGCCTGCCTTCCTTTCCTTTCCTTGACCAATGAAGCCACCAGAGAGAGAGAGAGAGAGAGAGGGAGCGGGAGCGGGAGCGGGAACGGGAGCGAGACAGAGCAAGAGCGGGCCGTAGTAAGTTTGTACTACCGAGCGCAGTTCCCGCCACAGCTCTGGGCATTTTTTGAACCCCAAACCTGAAATGGATTTTTTGACTCCAGTTTTTTTTTTCAGGGCTGCTTCGCGCACTACATTCGTACTACCTAAGCTCCCATTTCAACGACAGTTGCACACTTCAGCAACCCCCACCTCCGTTTTCCACGACAGTTACACACTTTGGCGACCTCCACTCCGTTTTCGACGACAGTTACACATTGGTCCACCTCCGGCTTCGACGACAACTGCACACTTTAGCAGCCTCCACCTCCGTTTTCGACGGCAGAAACACACTTACCAACTTCCAGCTTCCGGCGCCATTTGCAACGACAGTTCCACACTTTGGCATCTGCCAGCGCTACTTTCGACGACAGTTACACACTTCGGCAACCACATTCGCATTTCACCACACGCTTGAGCGCTCGACACCCGCAATCACCCCAGAGGGTTCACGGTAACGGCAAACTTGCATTTCACCACACGTTTGCGCGATCTGCGCACAGGGTTCATCCGCTCACCTCAGAATTTGCATCTCGCCACACGTTCGAGCATTCGACTTGCACGATCTCCGCAGAGCATTGCCTCGCGCCAAACCCGAATTTGCATTTCACCGCACTTTTGAACACTCGACACGCACGATCTCCACAGAGGAGTGCCTCCAGCTAAACCCGAATTCGCATTCAGAAACCAAAAAATACCAAAGACCTAGAGGAAATACAAGAAATACCACAAATAACAAAGAAATACCGAAGCTGCAAATGCACTTTTAGCATACATGCTGTTATGGCAGAAAACCAAGCATGCAAGCTGCAGATGTAGCTTATAGCATACCTAAAGCATACATAACAGTGCAGGAAGATATTGTAGCTTACAGGATACTCATAGATATTGATGCAGATGTGTTGTGCAAAACATGTCTACAGAAGAGCCCTTCGCAACGTTAGAACAACATGACACATGGGAACATAAGTGCTGGATCATATCAACGTGCAGTATGCTCTGCAGCGTACGTAATTCGGGAGGACCTAGTGAAACAAATCCGGTGTGTGATAAAGAGTGGTCATGAAGTGCGGAGGTCAAAAGGACTTTCAGAGCCTCACTCTCCTGCGAAGAGAAATGCTGCAGTCGGCGCCGCCCCATCTGAGGATCACACAGTATACCAGAGTGAGAAGATGCTGCGATTCACACGGGAGAAAGAGCTCGGGAGGAGCAAGATTCAAGGCGGTCGGACGAGTGCATTAGCCCTTTACCTTCTAGTTACTGCATTGCCTGTCAGAAACCTGCAATGGCCCCGTGCAAACGGTATGGTGAGTGATGAGTCCAACACAGTATGGCAAAAACATCGCTGTTCAAACAGGTACACCGGAGTGATCAAGTCCGGCTTCCACCGTTACGCTCGTTGGCATGCGTTTGCGTGATGGCCGCATGCCCCCTGCCAGTGATGAAACAGTAAAAGTGCGGCCCTGGAGACGGGGTTTGACACACACACGCACACACACAGGGTGTGTCACACACACTCTGACACTGGTTTTCAGTTAACTCAATTTCTCCAGAAAAGGAATGGCTCAACGGCAAGGTGAAGAGTCCGTTCAAATTGAAGGTGTTTTCAACAAAATGTTTGCGCGCATCTGCAGACTCGCGACAGCAGCGGACGAGCGGCGGACGGCAGCTGAAAGCTGTGGTGGGAAACCTGTTTGGGGGATGGAAGACATGAAACACCATGAAACAAACCAAAGGAGTGGACAGCGTGGGCAACAGTTTCTTAGCAGGTACACGGTCAGACGTCTCTGACCGCATCCACCGAGCAAGCATAGCTTTGTTAGCCAGCGTTTGCTTGTCGGCCGCTGGCCCCCTGCCTGTAGAAGGTGGTTGAAAAAGGTAGTTGAAAAACGTGGAAGGAGTAGCGGTGGAAAACCCTTTGTCCAGGGGTGGACACACACAGGTCGCCGCATTCGGCGCTTTTTTCAAAAACCGGTGGCAGGCGTGGTGGTTGTGTCCTTTTTGGACACAGAGCCTCGCGAGCTCAGCCGCAGCAGCTTCAGCGCTGGAGGGTGGAAATGTATATTTGCGAATGGTGTGAAGTCGTGATTGGAGGCCTGATAGAGCCAAGCGCTGGCTCCCGGCGGTTGTGGAATCCCTGATTTTCCAGGGTTGGGAAGGTTGCATGTAGGTGATGGTGCGTTGTGGGAGGTCGATGTTGAAACCGAGGAGATGAAAATCGTCCACCGGTTCGAGCTCCACTGGGTCGCCAAAGAAGTTGTGGTGGATGAGGGTTTGGATGGCCGGGTGGTGGAGGAAGTGTTCGTTGTGAACGATGAAACGGTTGTCAACATATCGATAGTACGTGAAGTGAAGGTCAGTGTGCTGAAGTAGATTGTTGTGGATCTGGTGCCAGGAATGCTCAATGAGGGTGATGGCGACGTTGCATAGGGCTGGAGAGAGCTGGGATCCAATCCCGGCCCCTCGGATTTGTTTGTAAGTATTGTTGCAAGCCCGGAAAATGCATGTGTTGAGGGCAAAAGCCACGATGGTGGTGATGTCGGATGTCTGGATGGTGCGTTGGGTAGGGTGTTTTCGATGGTGTCTGCCAATGTGTGAGTGGTGAAAAGGGTTGCCGGTAGCCTGGACATCCACCGTCAGGGTGTGTGTGGATTGCTGTTGTTGCCAGTGTTGGATGAGAGAGTGAACAGCATCGATGAGTCGGTGTTGTGGGACCGAGTTGAAGAAGCCGACGAGGTCATCGTTGGTAGCGTGCAATGAAATGTCTGGTGGGGTTTGGGTGAGGTAACTGTGAAAATGGCGCCAAAGTTGGGGAATGGACATTTGGCCGGGGTGTTGGGGGTAAAGATGTTGAAGGATAATGTCAAGCGCCCGGCTGGTGATGCGGAGTAGGTTGCCACTGAGTGACTGGAAATATGAGATAATGGTGCGGCCTTTCTGCCATTGCTTCTTCTCT